GAGAATTTAGCTGCAAAACTCTTAACAAATCTCCACTGACCCTGGGTGAACTGAGATATTCAGAGGCTAATAACTCAGTGAAATGTGAGCAGATTTTCATGGGGAGAGCAAGTTGCAGATCTTTGGAACTAGTCCCTGACAAATTTGAAGCCCTTGCTTACAAGTTGGAAGGGACTAAAATTTTTCAACACAATGATTGTGAGAGCTGAGTAAGAATGTATGTAAACTGAGAAGTGGTAGCATGGCTGCTCCAGCCACTGCAACAAACCACTGTAGTGATAGAGTATCTGCAGTGTCTTCAGGCCAGAATGTTCCCAAGCCCGAGTTCTGTACTTCTACAGGCACCTGGTGGACAGAAGTCTGCCAAGAAGGAAGCCTGAAGTGGCTCACGGCATTTGAAACCCACATGCTGCCAATACACTGGAGGGCCAGTACAACTCAATGTGGGTGGCATGGACTGGAAATGGCTGGTTGGGGATAAGCTGATTTAATGCAACCCTTTGTCCATCTCCCTGGATATTAAAATTGCTCCAATTCAAAGGAAACATCATTCTGCCTGCCCTTCCTCAATATCAATCTGTAAATCAATCAGGCCTTTAGACTTTTCCTAAATCATTGTTTTCAAAAAGAACTTCCCTCCCCACTTTCACATATTGCTGATTAATCCTCTCTCTCCCACTCCCAGGATTCCCCCTTTACACTTCCCCCCATGTGCTTCAATGATTTCTCTCCCTCTCCCATTGTTTTTATGGCTTCCACTCTCCTACGGGTCTCCTTCTATTGCTGTGTTTCCACAGGTACATAATTCCACCCACATAGAATCTCCTTTTTCTGTCTCTCCCCCATGCCCACTCCCTTGACTCCCACTGCTGACATGTAAGCTGCTTTTGAAGCACACTGACAGGACCAGTGGGAGTGTCACAATCACTGCTCAACTAAGAAAGAAAGGAAACAGAGCCCTTGGTAATAGCTATAGACAGCACTTGAGTAAAACGCCTGATTTGACGTACAGCAGCAGCAGCAGCAGCAGTCACACTTATTTGATGTCCTTACCACATTGCTGTTAAGACCTATCCAAACAGGCTGCCCGAGTTTTGACACTTGTAGCCATAGGAATGACTGACTGTAGGAATCTAAAATGCTGGCAAGTTCTGAGTATTCAGCCTTGCAGTTTTTTTCTGCTTCTTCCCAGTTCATTCTGGAACTGATGAGTGAATAGCTACTGTTACGATAAGGGATAAAGCCAGAGACTGGAACTGTTGGTTGGGAATTATATAATTTAGGGTCTGTAGCAAAAACAAACACACACAAAGACAGTTTTGTAGTACATGGATTGGTAACACTAACAGAAATTAAGACAAAGCACATCACAGCCAGGTCTTCAGTGATAAAAACCATGATTTTAAAAGAAGTCACGGTCCTTGTTGCTCTGTGCCAGACTCTCCCATGAATTTATTTTCCATTTAACTCCCAGTGCACTGAATCATGATTAGTCTTAATGCAGCTATATGGATTCAAGATGAAGCACAATCTTCCCACCCACTTGCCATCCCTTTAGGAGATAATGTCATGTCAGTACCAATACACCCCACCCACAACAAATGGGCAGAGATTAGATGGGTTTTACAATCCAGGCAAGGTTTCAAAACCTGGGGCACAAAAGTCAGATAGGACAGTTCAGCATTACCCCTCTGCCTGCCCGTCTCACACTCCAACCCCTCCACATTCATCCAGAAATCACTGTCCACTCTCACACAAAGCACTGGCCAATAGATTCCCAGGAGCCACCCCTACGGTCTCTGAGTTCTAATGCTTTAAAAAAGTTATCCTTCTCATCCACCTCCTAATCCAGCCCTTTCAAAATCATCTCACCCAATTGAATCATCCCATCCAAACCCATTCAAACAACTTTAATACTCTCCTCGTAGTTCTCCTTGGTTGTATGAGGGGGCCTCTTATAAAGACCCATGTCACCATGAGAGGGGTCCCAGCAAGACCAGGCTGCAGGAGAAATAGCTCTGGCCCTTGGTGCCTTCTCTGTCTTGTATGTACGTAAGAGCAGGATGCTGTACAACACATGCTGGCTTTTCTATAGGTCAGGCTGCTATATGTATTAGAGTATGTGTTTGTTTTGTGAAATTATCACCAGTGCATGTGAGCCTGTGAAATTCATTTCTTGCAGAGGCTAAAGGACATGTGCTGCTTGTGGAAAATCAGAATTTACCACAAGACAAACTAAAAATCACAGTAAATCTTTTAACACAATTCACTTAAAAGGCTGGTGACAGAGAACTCACCAGCGTTTCTCTGGCATACGTAGCTTTTGTTAGTTTGGCAGTCGGCATCTTTCCATTTCCCTGCTTCCTCAATGGGAGTCTTTGTCATAAAAACGCAGTCAGCCTAAGGGGAAAATGAGACATAAAGGAGTAAGAACAAACAAACAGCAAACAAGAAGCAATCTTCTTCCTTCTGGATCTGCAGACCCAGATAGCTCAGGTGGTTCAAGCACACACACATATCTCTCTGTCACTACCTATCTCCACTCTCCTCCATGTTATTAAATTATCTATTGAATCGCTGATATTGAGTTGCTGTGGTGGCATTTCCAAATCGCATCCTCTCCCATGTGGCAGCTCTTTAAACCCAACTTCTCTATTAGTCAAGGTGCTCTTGTGACAGCTCGTCCCCTTCACCTCAGCTCGCTTCTCAGTTATATGGTTTTATTGTTAAAATGAGACATACTTAGCCAAGACAGTACAACGAGAGCAGGACAAATGGAAGTACAGCCATTATTCCACACTAGCCATTTCATTTATTATGGAACCACACCCAATTATGTTTTGCTACTCAAGTAAATTGACATAATTCTGGGGAAATTTTCAAAGTCACGACAGAAGCTTATTCTGCAGAAATATTCAATGGCGTGTGGGAGGGAAGAAGATGAAAACAAGGGACATATATTCCTCCTCTTTGGGGGACTGTATTCATATAATTATATTAATCTTGGTAGACTAAGCACTTCTGAATATTTGCAACTCATATTTATAAGTATCCTTTTAATCTTGTTATTAATTGTAATAATCCCTTCCAAGACACCAAAGTTACACAATTATTGTCAGATCATCTTGTAACATTTACTCATGTGAGTTTTCTGACTCATCCCAGTAAAGTCAATCGGTCTATTCGCTTGAATAAAGTTTGCAGAATATAGACCTTATTTTACCCAATTGATTGGATTCATATTGTATCAGAGAGAAAATAAAAAGTTAAAAATTGAAGTTGAAATAAACCATTAGACTGACATTTATTATCTGTGTATACTTTATTTCTAGTAAATCTCCAACCAAATATAGTTCTGGGATTTTGCAAATAAATATTTGAAAATGAAGCTCAAAAAAAATTGTTCTATTGTAAGCTGATATAACTACCCCTTTTTCCTTCTAAAAGAGCTGAAACTCTGCCACCTGACCACTCTACTCTTAACAGTATCCAGTTAACCGAAATAAGCCTACATGAGAAATAAATTGTGCATGTTGCATACGGTTTGATTGACTTGATCAAATGTATGATGATTTAATGATTATTGGCAATACACATTTACCTTACTGCGATAATGTGGGAAATCTCTGGCCCAGTTTGTATAGGAGACACCTTTTCCATCTGTCCATAGGAATGTGTACTCAGAATTTATATCATTCAGTCCAATCCAGGCATCAGCTGAGACATCATTAAAGTGGGTGATGAGGAATGCTGAAAGAAAACAAACATTTTACAAGTGACGCGTGGAGACACCAGCATAGCCAGAGTTGGAATCATAGTTTAAAAATAAAAACAAAGTAGTTTTAACAACTATATCACATTAGAATAATGTCTGACATTGGCATTTCTTGGATATTAAAATAAATCAGATAATTTTAAAACCTGAAAGTTGCTAGTACATAAAAGAGCCTCCAAAGAGTTTTTGAGGAAGCACAACATCTATCAGTGGACAGTGCAAGGAAAATACACCTAATGGCATTTTGTGTTTTACAACACAGCATGAAGGGATTTGCCATATTGGAGACAGACACTTTTTTTCTCTTTCATGGATAATAATGGTGACAGGTGATTCTGTCTTACGAAACATGCCTGCCTTCCCAGTTCCATATTGAATTATGCAGGAGCATCTGGGCTTGATTGGAAGCCTGAGCCAAATGTACCACTGTCAGCAGTGCTGTGCAGAGCACTAGCCCAGTCTGACTATTCAAAGATGAATTTGCATTGTGCTTGCAGAGAGAAGTAGCAAACAATTATTAATGGAGGGAGCATGGAAGAAAATCAGAAGTGCCAGCCTTGCTAAGTGAGCTTGGGGAAGGCTAACAAAAACTGGCATGAGACAAAGCAAATAAACCATGATGGGAAGCCCTATGTGGCAGACCAGCAATTTCACAGTTGAGATGGTTTCCATGGTGGTTAAATCATAAGCTTGGTGTATCTAGTTAGCATTGTCCTTAAGCCTGATTCCGCAGTGTTTACTCAATTTGAATGGTACTTCATATGTGCATGATCTCACTTTAGTTTTTTAAATCCAAAGCTACATAATCTATTATAGGACAAATTTTGTGTCAAACTTTACACTGTAGTACTTGCAACACCAGCGTATCTGCTACTTATTCCTCCAAGGCTGGGGCTTTAGAAAGGGCTTAGGAAAACCACACATTTGTATCAGATTCTCTCTGCAGGCTCCATTATAGAAACTGGGGCTTTCTATCTTTAACTTGTGTATTGTGGGGATTAGCTGAGGTCTCATCTAATACCAAAAAGTCTATACATTGTACCTTGTTCTTCTTCATTTAGTATGGAAGCCAGGTTTCCCTTCAGTTGTATACAAGCCGTCCGTGCAGCATGCCACATCAACATCTCTTTTTCACTGGAGCCAAACATTTTGAAACACTGAAAAGAAAAGTAATCTAAACGCTGTAATTTGCTAAACAAAAAATATTTGAAATTGACAAGATTAATTTCTGGCTTTGTACAGGTCAGGCTAGAATAGTAAATGATCTAATTGTCCCTTCTGGGCTTAAAATCTATGAATCTTAAAAAAAAGAAAGAAAGAAAATATACACACTTGAAAGCTTGCATGCATGCTTCTTTTCTTTAGCATCCAGTGAGAAACGTAAATGGTTAATGGTTACAAGAATATAATATAGCAGTAAGATAACAATGTACGCATATATTTATCTTATCAATTAAAGGACTAACACTAAAAAATACTGTCTGGTCTGTTAAAAATGCTGAGGGAATTATACTTATTAGGAGAGAAATAACAAAAGAATTTGATCCTAGTTATCAATACCCATCCTCATCCAGTCTGAAAATTCCAGGGAAAAGAAAGAGAAAGGGGGAGGGGTAAAAACACGATGACAGAAAATAATTTCCTACTTTTGCAGTTCCATTATGGAAGAATCCAAACTGACCATTTTAAGTAAGGCAGTGGTGGGGAACCTGAAGTCTGGGCCACTGCTTTCCACAGCTCCCATTGGCCGGGATTATTGAACCATATCAACTAGGAGCTGCAGGGCTCTGTGCCTGTAGATACTCAGAAAACAAACCATCTCGCAGCTCACCAGCAGCTAACCCTGATGTCGTGCATGCAGGGGCGGATATAGGGCAGGGCGAACAGGGCAGCCGCCCCGGGCCCCGCGCTTCAGAACGCCCTGCGCATGCGCATGGTGTCACTGCACATGCGCCGTGGCAAAGGGGGGGCCCTGTGGAATTACGCTGCCCGAGGCCCTGCAAAACTGTCATCTGCCCCTGCGTGCATGTAGCCCATGGTACAGAGGTTCCCCACCCCTGAAGTAAAGGCTGATTTTTCGCACCACATTTCTTCTGTCAGCCCTTTTCCATCAATGGAAAAAGTGTAACTATTTATACCATGAGAGCATTTTTCTGACAGGAAATGTGGATGATACACTTTGACTGATTCATTGAACATGGTGAATTTTGGTAATTGTCTTAGAGCAATGGATTTCAAAGTACAGGTCACATCCCAGTACTGGGTTGTGGAATGCCAGGCACTGAGTCACTTTCCTGTAGGCTGACTAGGTAACTAGTGGAGGATGGGGAATACAGTGCCAGCATGTAATAGCAGTGTGCAGAGCTGCTTGCATACTGCTGCTTAAGACTCAGACCTGTTATTGGCTTCTTTCAGGGCACAGTAAGATTGAGGTGCCAGGACAGATGGGAAAACAGCCTTAATATCCCTGCTGCTCTGCTGACTCCAAGTTCCTGGAGGTAAGACCATGCCCAAACTGGCATCCTGATTCTTTGCCTGAGCCTCCTTCTGCACCTAAACTCATCATTCCCTGCCCCCACCCTGGAACCCATGTGGACTCTAGTCAAAAGATATAATTATGTTGTGTCACAGGCATCAACAATTTTCTTCAACTGTATCATGAGAAAAAAAAGTTTGAAAACCCCTGTCGTAGAGAACAAAGCAAGGGGGAGTGAATATAAAGTAACACTACCTTTGTTATACAATGCAGAGACAAAGAGTACTTGCATAAATATCTGCCTTTTGTGCACCAATGGGCAATTCCGAATCAATATAAATCCATCCAGAAGGCCTGCATTTATATTTTCTATTTCTGAATAAATCCATTAAGGAAGGAGAGGGAGCTTTGTACAGATTTATGGATGTGCCCCCTCCTCCCCAGTTTTTCTAGTTAAGAAGCAGCTTTGTTTTTAGGTTCATGCTGACAATGGAATTTTGCTCACTGAACATGTACCAAAAGCAGAAACAATTATAGAAAAAATGAACATACATTTGGTTAGCTATACAATCATTTTAAAACTAGCCAATTAGCCCGTCATAAGATGGGATTTTCAGGTCTCTCCTCCACGTCAGTCTTCTCTCCTGAGCCTCCGGTCTCTCGCTCCCCCCCCCCCCCCCCCTCAGCTCTCCTCTGCCTCCTGCCTTTCACTTGGGGGACCATGGCGCCCAAATGGCCATTTGGGCTACGCACTACCCGTGCTGCATGGGGGGTGAGGAACCCAAACGATTGCTTGCGCCGCTTGCTCCCATGCGGCGGCCTGGCTGAGCAGCACAGAAGTCAGCCGAGCACCATGGAGGGAGGCGAAGGGGGGCAGGGTGGTGACATTCACGGCCAGGGGGCAGGGCCTGGAGCCGCTGTCATGCCGCACGTCACCGCCCCGCCTCCCTTCGCCTTCCGCCATGGCGCTCGGCCACAAGTGGCCGCCTGGGCCCCGCACTCCCCATGCAGCACGGGCCGCCCAGAGGGAACAGCCAGTATTTCAGCAACAGCGCCCCACAGAGGGAACACCCAGCATTTCGGCGTTACAGACTCTCAGACACTGGGCTACTATATATATGATGAATCAATTGAAAAGCAATTGCAGGATCAAAGCTTAAGCCATTTAAAACCTACAGTAGCTCACAAACTGATTTCTTAGCTGATTTAAATGTAGATCTAATATCTCCAGATTGGCCTGATCAGTCATTCAGAAGACAACTGCAATAATAAAAGACAAACATATATTTTTGTTCAGTTCCTTTTCCAATTAACAGAAGATGTTTGCTACTGTACCTTGTTATTGAACAAAAGCCAGTTTGGAGGGCAGCCTCCTAGAGGTGCAGCTGATGTGGGAGCAACTGTTGCATGAGTAGTACCATGGAGCCTTTCACAGATGAAGCGCTCAGACACTCCACAGTTCAGATCATTCCACAGACCTGAAACATGTTAAATGTGGGGAAAAAACATACTGAATAACGTGAAGACTGCAATAAAAATCTACCCCTTCTTCTGGTGATTACAATATAGATGGTACAGTTGCTTTGGTTTCCCCCTCAAGCAACAGTGCCCACACACCATAGAGGAAGAACAGGAGCTACGAATTCCAAAGAATAAATAGCTCAGTCAACTGGTTATATAAAATATTACTGTGCCATAAAAAAAGTCAAGCCTTGTAAAGTCCAAAACTATGAGATATTCATACTGTAGTAAGCTGAGGGTTGCTAACATAAAATTAGCAGGACTAAATAAAGGCCTGTAACACAAACAGCAGGCCTAAAATCTAATGAGCTAGACTTTGTCTCAGTGAAACTGAAGGCAAGAAAGAGGCTTGGCTATAGAGAAATAGTATAAGCCAGTCAAGCATAAAAGTACTTGGTACAGGTACCAAGCATAGACTGCAAACACATTCCAGAGGGGTTATAGCAGAATGCCTCGCTAAGAAACATCTTTGTATCAACCACCTACCCAGAAATAAAGTATGTCCCAACATAGGTTCAGGATCAGGTCAAAGTTGACACATAATAGATAGTAAGTTGAAAGCATGAAGAATAGTAAGTAAGCCTCCCTCCTGCGAGGTAAGGGGCGATAACTAGGTAACAGAAGGTGGCAATCTGGTACTTCAGTGATGTGTGTTTTATTTGTACCTGTGTATAAAAGTGCACCTCTAAGGGTGAACGCCAGCTGACCGTGGTGGGGTACTGGATGGCACCTAATGGGTGTTAGCACTTTGCTTCGGCTTCCATAAGGTGTAGTGGTGTAGCGGTGACCCTCTTCGCTGACAACTATTAGTGTATGTTGTTTGGCAATAAACCTGCTTTGGTGATTTTGATCCTTATCCGATTTGTGGTCTCTGGGGGATCTCTTGAGAGTCTGTTGTATTAACTAATTATGCACGGTTAATGCGCTAGACAGGGGAGCACATGCACATATGCGCACAGCCGAAACTTTATCATGACTGACGGAGTAGAGGACCTGTCAGGAACCCATTGGAATGAACCCCGAACCTTAATTGACGACACTACAATCACATATCTTTGTGTGTGTAAAATTCATGTCATTTCTCCTCTGCCCCTCCACATGGTGGTGAAGCAGTCAGACAGGAAGGGGAATATTAGATTTATTCCCAGCATCTAACAAAGGTGGGACATTACAATTAATGGGAAAACATTGAAATAATGTGAAATTGAAAAGAAAAGGGCAATCTTGGGAAATTAAGAAAGCAAAGAATTTCCACCCACCACAAATCACCAGAATGAGAGAGAGACACAGATAGAGAGAGAGAGAATCCTGCTAAACTTATAAGAGTATGTGTAAACTTCGTGGGGGGTTCTCAGGAGAAGATATGCAAATTCCACTCCAATTTGCATATTTTCTTCCATTTTTTTTTCTGGAAGAGGCTTTTCTGATATTTGGCCAGATTACATGTGCCAAATTTAGGAGGAATAAGGGGGTTTTCAGAAGAAGGTTTTTTTCTGACATTTGGCCCCGTGTAGACAGGCCAAATAATGGAAAAGCCTCTTCCAGGGAAAAAAACAGAAGATATACAAATTTGAGTGAAATTTGCATATCTTCTTCCAAAAAAAACCCATAGTCTAGACGTGCCCTAAGAAGAGAAGGGATCTGAAGTGAAAGGCATTCAGAAACTGTGGAGCAGCCTGTAAGTAGGAAGCTGTCCATCAAATCCTGGATCCCCTATGAAACAGGGGACAACATAGGGGACTCTCTTCACTGGCAAAAAGTACTTTGTATATAAAAGGGAATTTATCTAATTATAAAGTGTGAGGCCTGTTGCCTTTTTATGTTTATTTTTTATGCAACATGTATGTGTTTGCTTCCCCTCATTCGTTTATCTCTGGCCTCTTGCTGTTCCCACGTGGTCATTCTGCCCTTCCTGTCAGATTCCTCCCTTTCCATTTTATGAGAAAATCAATTGTTATGCATATCCCATTGTCCTGGCACAACCAAATCCTGACCTTGCTTTAAGTTTTGATAAGAGGAAGCTGCATAACAAATTCTGTGGTCCTGTCTCTTAATATATAGGAGTTCTTGAATAAATGATCTCATAGATGGACAGATAAATACAGACAGATACAGATAGACACACACATCTAAAATATATAGTCAGTAAAACATTTATAAAATATTAATAATCATGTTATGTTATGGTAGTGTAGATGGTCCTTTTTTAGAAACTGCATGAACACATGCACGAAATCGTATGCTCTAAAAAGATAAAACAAATTGTAGGAGAAACAAAATCTTATTGTCTCTGATTTGAGATGGAAACTGAGGCACGGAGTTTTACTGATTTGCCTTTGATCATATAGAGAGTTTCTAGAAAACCCAGTAACTGAACTACATCTTTTTGCTTCCAGTCTAGTGCCTTTTCCACAAAGAATGCAATTTTTTAAAGCATTCTAAAATTCCTTTTAGTGTGGTATATGCTCCCCAGTCATTTAGATACTTTTGAAAATCCCACTGAATATTCAACCCAATTAATATAGTAACTGATTTTACATGAAACATGTGTATCATGCACACTCCTATGACAGATAGTGCAGGGTTGTTAGGACTCTGAAATATTACTGTACTCACCTGTATCGGTATATATGACCACACAGTTTTCATCATCATTTGAAAAATTGGGTTCATTGGGAGCCCAGGCTACATAGTTTACTGGAGTTCCATCCATCCAGCTAAAAGAAACAATGTAGCAGTTGTCAGCGAATAGATCCATTTTCATTTTAAGGCCACAATATCCATTTGATAGTATATTATAGAAATTCTAGCTAAACAAGCCAAAAATCAGCTTGTGAACATGGCTTTTGAGAAGGAAGAAAATCTGAGACATAAGCCCTAGTATCAGAGACTAAACTAATGATCAAAGCGTTGCTGATAGAAAAGAAAACCAGGTTGTGAGCAAAAGATAGGCCTACAAGAAAAAGGCTGGCAGTGCAGATACACACACATTCCCAACAAGTGCTAGGCACAGAATACTCACACAAACACATCCCACAAGGGTGGTACCACACCTTGAAAGATAATGACAACAACACACTGACCCCTCCTAAAAATAAAGCCAGGATGACAGTGTGATGGATAGAGCTTAGGGATGCCAATCCTGCAGGATTGACTGGCATTTCCCAGAATTGGCATAGATTTCCCAGTGACTGCTGAAAACAATCCTAGAGATTTTAAGAAAATGACATTATGTCATTTTGGGGGGAAAAAAATCTTCCTGAATACCTTCAGAGTTGGACAACCTAATAGAGATGTTTTGATCAAACCAACATGTACAAGCTAGTAGGGGGCAATATATAACTTCTTTGTATTAGAATAAAAGGAAAAACTATGTAGCAATATCAGACTAACATGGCTACCTCTCTATTACTATTCTTTGTATTAGAGTATAAATGAAGACTCAGAGAGTGTCATTTATTGGTGTAGGGGATAATAGAAAGTCCCACAATTAGCTGAACCAGTCATATGCTAGTGCACCTGTAGCCATTGAGTCAGTATATAAGGACTGTGCTTTGTTGACAATAAACGTGACCAAGTGCCTTCACTACGAACCGAGCCTGTGGTTATCTGGCAGTTTAATCAAAGTCTGCTGTGCCAACTATCTGCGCAAAGCTGAGACAGCACACAGAGAACACACATACACAGCAAACATCTAACAGCTTTATGTGTGACTTACATTAGTATTACAGGCAGTCCCTGAGTTACACGGATCCGACTTATGTCGGATCCGCACTTACGAACGGGGCTCTCTCGCCCTGGAGCTCGCAGGCAGCAGGACCGCCCAGAGCGCAGCGGTCGCGCCACCTCAACCTCCGGGGCAAGAAATGGTGATCCGGGTGCCCCTGGTCTGCTGGGGACCATCTCCAGCAGACCAGGGACACCTGGAGCAAAGCCGGGGAGGCGGAGGGGTCCCGC